AAGCTCTTGCAGTTGTGGCTCTGCCCTTTGCAGAAACCACTGGAGCCCAGGGTATGGAGCTGTGGTGCATTCCCAGCCACTCATCCTACTTCCCTGGCATGGGGAGGAAATCCAGGCAGGTTTTCCCCTCTTCTCTGTCCGCTTACAGTGTTTTCTTGCCAGGAGCACGCACCGTCAGCTCAAACCAACCCCACCACCGCCGTTCATGGCAAGAGGGCTGGGAGACCCTCCAGAGAAGGCTGGCACAAGGCTCTCCTGTCACCGAGACAAGGGACAGAACAGCACCAACCTATCTGCCCCTGCCAGGGCTAGCCCAAGGCCTTCCTAAGCTTTATCCAGATAGCAAGGAATGTCAGAGCAAAGAAACACACAGGGAAAAGCGAGCTTTTGGATGATCTTGCAATAGCTCCGAGGAAGAGGGGTAACAGGATACCTGCTCCATCACAAGCAGGGCAGTGAGCCAGGAATTTTCCTTTGAGAAAATGGAGCAGCCTTTTAACACAAGCCAGCCAGGCCCGGGGCGACTGGGACACGCAGCCTGCCAGGCATCAAAGCACCTGGCTGCCACGGCGCTGCACGGGTCAGCAAGCAGTGTGGGGCAAGCGCCCCTCGGCACCCAGTGCGCAAAGCCACAACGCCCCCGAGGCCAGCACGGGCAGAGCTGCCAGCCAGGCGGCCCTGGGTACCGGGGAAGCGCTGGTCCCACTGCTCAGCCCTGACGGTGCTCACATGCGGCTCCTCAGTCACCTTTCACCACAAAGCACCCGACTTCGGGGCTGCCCTGATGCTGGCCACGTTGGCACAGATTCATGAGTGATCAAGTGGGATGTACAATTAGGTCAAACTCCTAATTGGCAGGGACGGCTCCTAAAGAATAGGCAGCCTAAACTCAGCCTTGTCATGCCCAAACATCTGCTTCCAGCAACAGCACCCAGGCCAAATTCCGAGAGATGAGGGCACTGTGACTACAGCTGGGGGCCACGGCGTTAAATCTCGTGGCCCCTTTGCCAGGGTAGAGTGCTCCAGCCCTTGTGCACAGTCATCTGCTTGGGGTGACTTTGAGGAGTGGCAATGAGAGACTCAGGGAAGACGGGCTGGCTACTGGGAGGGCTTTTGCCAGTGCTGCAATAACGGATACAGCATCACCTGCAACACTGGCTTCGATCATCGCCCCACGGGGCTGGATGCAGAGGGCTAGAGCCGGTGAGCAGGAAGATGAGCCCTGGCCTCCAGCTTATCCCATTTCCTTAGGGCTCAGTGACAAATGCCCCTTTGTTGTCCCACCGTGTGCCAAGATGCCCAGGCTCCCCCACAGCCACTGCCAATCGTGACGGACCTGCCCGCCCAGACCCTACTTGCACAAGGGGGCCTGAAGCAGAGCATTCCTGGGAAATTTGGGAAGGAGCCCTGTCACCTCCTCCAAAGGACTTTAATTGCTCCCTACAGTAGAAGCCACCCACAGATTTATTTTCAAATGGCAAAGCACTTGTAAAATGCCAAAGCCCGCAGGGGAGACGCCACTTCCTTCCCTCCAGCCGATGCTGCGGCATCGCATGGCCGTTGCTCTGACGACTTGCTGCCGAGCGGCTGGCTGGGCTTGCTCACAGCCCCAGCCGGGTTGAGGGAAGCATTTAGAGCCCATCCCTGGGCCAGGCAACGTGCCGCCATCATGCCCTGGGGGTTTCTCCTTCCCCTCGGGCTGGAATAGCGGAACAGGTTAAGCCATCCTGCCTTCTCCGGCTGCAAAAGAAAAAAAAAAAAAAAAGGGAAGCTCAAAGGGGAACTGGGAGGGACAGTGTGTCCCCTTGCTGGGCTAGGAGTGTCACAGATAAACTGCCTTATAACCTCAGATAACTGCCTTATAACCTCGTCCCGCCTGTGCTCCGCTTTGGGAATCGCAGCGTAAGCCCCGAGGATGGCAGGCAGCAAGAGAGGACGGAGCCCCACATCAAGGGCTGCCGAGTCTGGCCAGCACCCAAAACATGGAGGCTCCGGGGCTGTGACCGAGAGCAAGGTGCTTCTCCGAGCTTGCTGTCCCTGGAGCAGGACAGTGTCACCGCCTGGGCTCAGCAACCCTCCCTCCCCCGGCCCCAGGAAGGAGAGGGTACACCCAACCCCACAGCTCAATGAAGCCCGTCTTTGCGTAGGGACCTGCCCGTTTCCCACCCCTGCCAACTTTCCATCGGGGCAGGTGCTCCCGCCCCACCCCGGGCGGAGCCAAAACCCAGATCAAAGCCTGCAGCTATGCAGGCCAGTCTGGCTCTGCCGACCCATGGCCCCCCGAACGCTCGGCGCAAAGCGAGGATGGGCACAGCGCCAAGCCCAGTGCCCCGTCTCCAGGGTCCTTTGGCATTGCCTCTGCACTGCATAAACATCTGCGTTCACTGTGCGCAGGGCAGAGGCGGCCTTGCAGGGTCCTGCCGGCGCTCTGGCTGTCACGATCTCTTCCGTCCTGCCGCTCCATTTTCCCCGCTCCGAAGGGTCCTTCCAACAACTGCCTTTGCCTCCCCGAGAGCCACGATGGAGATGTTAGTGATGCCCCAAGGTCTGGCTGTGCCCATGAGAGGTGGCCCTGCCGGTGCCTGGCCACCGCTGCCAAATGAGAGGTCCCAGTGCCGCCATGTGCCCTGCCACGTTCCCACCCCATGTTTAAGGCGAGTTCCGAGCTGCCCTTAAAGAGGGCCCCAAGCAGCTAATGGCAGGGCTGCTGCGTCTCAGGCCACAGAGCGGGAAGGGAGATTACAGAGGAGCTCAAAAATGAAGATTATGCTAAAATTAAACCTGCAAAAACAGAGCCTGGTATTTCAGCTGAGAAGCCCCAGCAGGGAGTGAGGCAGCAGAGAACCACCAAGGCAATGGCAACAAACGGGGCATAGAGCACCAGGGGCAAGGAGCAAGCAAGTGCCTTGCACCAATGCCTGTGGGGCAGCCACAGCAACTCTACCCAAGCAATGCCCGTGAGCCACTCATGGACCTCCCCAACCCATAGGAACCACCCAGGGCATCGCTCAGCCTGCAGTTGCTTTGGGAAGGGGGCTTCAGGGGACATCTTGGCCTCAAAGCGTGGAGCACAGCCAGGATGGATCTAGCAGATTGCAGGTTGCCTCTTCAACAGTTTGCTTTGGCCTCTAATATTTCAAAGATCTGGGCTTTTTGCATGTCTTGCAGCCATCCATCAGCAGCTGGTGTCCCCAAACAAGTCACCGCTTGCTCATACAAAGGGTAGAGATACCGACGCTGGGCGTGAGAGACCCAGGCCCACCTTGGCCACAAAGTTAGAGCCAGAGCAAACAACCTTGAGATGCAACGCGCATCACGAGGCCACAGCTAGTCGAGACAATTCTTCCCGTTCACAAGCCCTTTTTTTAGATCTTTCTGCCACCAAAGGGAGAGGAGACAGTCTCTGTCACACCCAACATTTAGCGTCTGCTGAGGTTAGGACTATATTAAGGCTATAAAGACTCTACGTATCTACATTTATTGCTACAGTTGTCTTCTCTGCTCCAGGCACAGCACAGTTTCCCCAATGGGCACTCTGCAGGAGAACCTTTGTTCAATGCCAACATGAGTTTGTGATGTAAAACACAAACAACAACAACCATAACCAACACAACCCCACACCTCGTCCTCACTGGGCCCTAGACAAAGTCCTGCACCATGGGGCCACCTCTTTGATAGGTAATTCCTGGGATGTCCCAGACACAACGGGTTTCTCATGGAGTTGCACAGCCTCAAGACACTTCAAAATGCCCAAACCAAACAACAGCAATGCCCCACTTAGTATAAGACCAAATTCAGTCTTGGTGTTTTCCTCAGAAACCAAAGGCAGCATCCGATCTCAATAAAAAGCTTCTGCTCTGGAGCATGGCCATCATGCTACCTGGCTCTCAGCAAAACAGAATAGTCCCTCTGGGAAGATGGGATCATGCCAGCCAGTTGGGTAGTGAGGGACAATCGGGACTGTATAGGTCTCCTGCACTGCCCACACCACTGCCGATCTCAGTGATGGACCCTCTCGAGTATCTTCAACCAGTCAGCGAGCCAAGAAACTCAAGACAACAACTAATGCTTTGGAGCATCCCAGGTCAGAACTAGAGAGCAGACAGGCTGCAGCAAAGAGCTGGTAGAGTTACCAGGCAGCACCCACCACCTCCAGTGGCTGAGGCTGTCCTGCACCTGCCAGAAACCAGCCCCACATAGGTGTCCTTGGGATGCCTACAGCGTGGGAGTGGTGGGGCAACACTTTGGGATGCTCACGCTGCCCAACTTTGAAAGCTTCAGGTCCGAGTGAGCAGTTGATTGTTCCCGTTGACACATTCAGTCCTTAAAACAGCTGTGCCGGACGCATTTATGAAATCAAAGCAAAAAACTAAGCGGAGCTGGTATGGGATGCCTTGGTGCATGTCTTGTGTTGCTCCTAGAAAGCTCATTCATCTGACGGGGAGTGGAAACAGTTAAACTATAGAGCTCGCCACCAAGCCACCCCCAAGCTTTCTCTTGTCCTCCTCCTGGTGCCCCAAGGTCGAGCTGCAAAACCTCAAAGCTGAGCAGCTTCGTCTCCTGAACCACGTCAAGACCCCCAGCTTGGCACTCCACTCCCGCAGCCGCCCAGCGCCTGCAGCCCAGAGCCGCTCTCCACCCTGCTCATCAGCCAGCGGAACAAAAGCAAAAATCACTAAAGAATGTCTGAATGGCAGTCTTTTTTTTTTTTATGCACTACCAAAGCACAAGGCCAAATTCACGGAGCGGGTGGAAACTCAGAGATGCGGATTCATGCCGCATGCCTATCCAGGATTGCTGCGCTGGCATCTGTGGTCTGTGCTGGCAAGTCCTGCTCAGAGCCCACACAGGACTGGGGGGAAAGCCCCTACTTCCAAGCATATCCTCGCCCCAGACACAAGCTCTGCCAGATCGTTCTCCCCTACGCGCATGGACACACAAGGTGTTTCCTCCTGCACATCGGCCTCGTGCTAGACTCTCACCTCCATCTTTCCCGCTTGGATTGAGCCCCAGGGACACAGCTGCCAGTGCTGGACCTGCACGGCAGCACTCTAAACAAATTGCAGAGGTAGGTCATTTCCCTTGCAAACCTGTCCTTGCAGAGTCTTGGCCTGCTTAGTGGCTTCCCCCACAATTCTCATTTGCTTGAGTTTGCCAAATGAGCGGGTGTTTGCTCCTTACATTTGTACTCCAGGAAAAACCCTCCACACGGCTGTTTTAAGTGCCAAAAGATGACCCCCTCCCACAAGTCAGCATCCCTCTTCCATTTACTATGGAGCAGGAAGGGCTACAGAGCAGAAACTCACCGATCTTGAGAGGTTCCACTGACGTTTGCACCTTCCCACAGCATCTCCACTCTTGCAAAGGTGCAACCACACATCCAGCTCCAAGCACCAGCGAAGGAGTAAGTCAGCACATATCTTCATGCAAAACATCAGCTGCACCAGCGTGAAGACATGAGTCAGTTCCTACCTTCATGCAAGACTCCCACAGACTCACTGGAAAGAGAGCCCTGACACCAGGATATGGAAACTTGTTCCTACCTTTCCTCCTTCTCCAGGAGGGCCAGGAAAGAAATCCAGAGCTGAATTAAATGGGCAGAGAGATAGATCCTCTTAGGGATGATGCACATTTCCGGCTCTGGAGATGCAATCCTCAGCACTGCAGTACACGTCACATACTGGCCAGAAAGGAGCTCAACAAATCACCAAGGCCAATATGGGCTGGAAAGCAAAATCCAGTGGTTCAGCACTCATCCTTCGGAGGCAGGTCTGCTGCCCTTCCAGCTGGCCCTGGAATAACCAACTTCGAGATTTGCCCTACGGTCCCTTTCCAGGAGCAAATGCCTCGAACACAGCACCTTAATTGCCTTCTTCCTTCCCAGCTTTCGAGTCTAAAGGCAGGTTGCAAGACAGCTGAGCTTGCTACAAGCAAACACAAGCAAGAAGGCCAACAGCATCCCAGCTTATATCAGGAAGAGTGTAGGCAGCAGGAGCAGGGATGTGATCATTCCCTTGTACTCAGCGCTGGTGAGGCCGCACCTCCATCACTGTGTTCAGTTTTGGGCCCCTCACTACAAGAAAGACATGGAGGTGCTGGAACATGTCCAAAGAAGGGCAACAAAGCTGCTGAAGGGTCTGGAGCACAGACCTTCCAAGGAGCAGCTGAGGCAGCTGGGGTTATTTAGAGTGGAGAAGAGGGAACTCGGGGAGAGCTTATCCCTCTCTAGAGCTCCTTGAAAGGAGGTTGTAGGGGGAGAGCTTATCCCTCTCTAGAGCTCTCTGAAAGGAGGTTGTAGGGAGGTGGGGGGTCCATCTCTTCTCCAGAATTACTATGGCTAGGACAAGAGGAAATGGCCTCAAGTAGTGCCAGGGGAGGATCAGTTAAAATCTTAGGAAGAATTTCTACAAGGAAAGAGCAGTCAAGCATTGGAACAGGCTGCCCAGGCACATGATGGAGTCACAGTTCTTGGCAGTGTTCAAGACAAGTGTAGATGAGGTATTTAGGGACACGGTTTAGCAGGCATGGTGTTGAACGGTTTATGGCTGAACTCGGTGATCTAAAAAGGTGTTTTCTAACCAAAATGATTTTGTGATTATAAAGTCTCTGCTGTCCCCCAAAGACACATGCTGGCAGCGAGGGCCACATTCCCTGGCCTTCATAGGAGCTGTCACGATGGCTCCTCATTTCCAGCCAACAACCCCTGCTTTGGTGCTCACATTAACTCAGTCCTTGGCATGGCACCCAGGTCCCTTCTACAGAAGGGCAGCCTTTGCAGAGCTTTTCAATACTGCAAGTTGAGCAGGTCTCCTTTACCTGGGGCCCAGGACAGCCCATCCCCATCCCCATGCAGCAAATCTGCATGCCACGAGCACAGTACAACTCTTCCTATGGGTGAGCTCAAACCCTCTGAACATTCCCCTCTGTTCTGGCAAGGATCACCCACATGCTGCCCTTCCCACAGCATCTGATGCTTTGGGAGATGCTCAGATCTGTGCATTCCAAGTATGGAGGCTGACTCCACATCTCTATCCTGCCCACAACGCAGCACCAAGGAGCCTGGTGCACTTAGAGTGGAGCCATGCCCTGGAGAGCTCTGGAGGTCCATATTGACTGCCAGCTTACGGGACACTACACAACAGCCTTCCGACCTCCTGCTGGTCTGGGAAAAACTCTGCTGCTAGCACAGAAACCTGTCTTGAACAGACGTTTAGCTGTAAATGAGCTCTTCAGCACCAAGCCACAAGCTACCACTGAAATAATTCGGTCAAAATTACCAGCCAGGTCTTCGGCCTTCTCTTTCCAGGCAAAGCCCAAAGCATCAGGCATCAAAATCTCTGCTGGGGAAAGGACCCTTGGGAAGGATGTTCTGACTTGATGTAGTCATCTCTTCCTGTTGGTTCTCTCCATGCTTAAACCTTGCATCAGCTTTGCTGGGCCCACAGACTTGCCATGAAACTTGAGGCATGACAGGCTTTTCTCCTTCTCCTCCGCCACAAGTTCTGGAGATCGGTGCTGACCTAAGTACCCCAGCAGTTTCACGCACTGCAGGGACACCCACGCGCACCCCACCAGAGCCCCTGCTCCATCCTGCGATCCCCATGTTTACCAGCATCTGATATCAGGCAGTCTGTTGCCAGCAAGCCACACTGCTCCCCTGACCTCTTCTGAGCATGGCAGCACACATGCAGGTTCCTACAGGATTGTTGGAGCACCTTTGCTTAGTACCTTTGCCTTCGGAATAGTTATGGGGCAGTGCCATCGGATCTGCCCACAGTCTCCCCCTTGCACCAGGCTGAACGACGCCTGTGAATGCTCTGCAGGCTCTCCAGCAGGGGAGGGCCCAGGGAACATCTGCAGCATCTCTCTCCCATTATGGGACTCCTTGGATGACACGTGTTTTTCATTTCGCCCAAAATATACTATTTGGCTGGAATCTCACAGACTTGACCCGAAGGAAAGAAAATTGCATTGGGTTTGGAAAGACAGATCAGATTTCTTTCTTTCCACCCAGAGCCTCCCCCTGGTTTTAAAGGCTGTCTCCTTCAGAAAAGGCTTTTCTGTGGGGAACCAGAGCTGTGCAAAAAAATAACCCTTTGCAAATCAAGGTACGCTGCTTTTGGGAATGTGGAGGGCTGCTAAGGGCCACAAATGAAGCAGTGTCCAGGATAAAATTCATCCGTAGAGCGTCTGTAGAGCACTCACCCCAAGATCACAAAAGCCCAAGAGTCCCTAGACTATGACATTAATCCAGCTGGTGTTGGTGAGCATGCAGCAGACCTCGTGGCACACACCTCCCCAAAGCACGGCCATGCCTGGCTTCACGGACTCGGAGAAAGCGGCCTCAGCATCTCCTCCCCTCCCACCCTCCGCACTTGCAGACAAGTTAAGGTCTGGTTAAGGCGGCAAGGAGGAAATGCCACAACATCCCACTGTGCGCAAGAATTGCGCTCATTCGCTAAAGACTAGCACTCCGATCATGCAATAGGGAAGGCACAAGATGCTCTCAGCCTCCAAAAGCAAAATGTGGACACAGAGCAGCCTCGCTAGCAGGCAGCAGCCAGGCAGCAGCGGACACCAGAGCCAGCACTTCATGCAGGTGCTCAGCAACCCTGCGGCAGGCTGTTTCCAAGGACATGACAGCTCAAGGTGATCGCTCTCAGTGGTTGCAAAAAACATCTGCTTATCGTTGCAGTGGCCACTGGTAAGCCCCAGGACAGGGACTGAAAAAAACAGCCTGCTCTCATCACTGCTTGTCTTTGTTCTTTTCTCCCTATCCTCACACAGGGCTCAGTTAGCAAGATTCATAGCTGGTCCCCAACTCGGGACTCCTCACCTGCTGTGGCTGAGAAGGCAGCCTAAAGATGTCTCACTGCTAGGCAGGAACGGGACTCGCTCATCCCCATCACTTCACTGCCCCAGGGCCCACGAGCAAAAACTGCTGCTCCAGGGGAAGCACGAGCGAAGGCCACCCCACCTCTCGCCCCGCAAGACCGCGCTCAGCATGCAAAAGGCTTTTGCTCCCATTTCCCAAGGGACTTCCAAGCCCAAACTCAGTTTGTTCCCCATGACCACCCCAAAGCTTGTCTCAGCTCATCCACCCCACAAGAGCCCAGGGTTTTGCATTTCCCTCATAGCTCACGGCATAACAGCTATATCTCCACGCACTACAAGGTCAACCTACTCTCTCTTCAACACAATCCATCAACAGGATGAAACGAGTAAGGGGAACCACATGTCCAAATCCAACCACCTGTTGAGTCTGCCTTGCACACAGCAAGTGCAGCCGGTCCACATAGAGCACCCCACATCGTGCAAAGCCAAACAGGCTGAAAGCCTCGTCTTGAAACAGCTTTGAATCTACACATCATGCCATATTGGCTGCAGGCAAGGTATTCTTCCTTTTTTTAATCCTTATTTAACAGAAGCACTTTAGTACCTCATTAATCCTGACAGCATAATCCCAAGTTGATTAGTCAAGTTAAGTGTCTGCCTTCAAAGGAGAGGGAAGCAAGTGATGGTTTTCCCTCGCCCAGATGCATGACAGGCTACAGCTAACACCTTGGCAACTGCAAGACCACAGTCACAGGCCAAAGGACTGGCAGATGGAGGAATCCTGGGGCAGAGCACGGATCGCTCCGTCGTGCCGCGTGACAGTCTCTAGAAAGAGCTTTTGCAAAATTTTGCTTCAGTTGGGCAGCATGAGCTCTGTGGAAGCCGAGCCAGATGCTGGCAGCAGGTACGGTGTGGAGATGTGGTCCAGCCTAAACACCAGCCCGGGAAGAGTGCAGAGCTCTGGATGACACTCCAGAGCCCCAAATTAGTACCAGCTTGGGACTGGCCTGGCCTAAGAAGCTGCAAAGTGGCCAAAACCCTGACGCACAAGGCTTGGATGAGGGAGACTGCTAACAAACCTCTTTGATGCAGCCACAACAGCAGCAGGATGAAAATTCAAACGGATGGCAGCACTATTTCCCCTCACATCATTTCCTATCTAACTCTGGGCATTTGGACCACAAGGAGCAGAAGTTATTTTTGCACAAGCTCAGCAGGGCCAGGCCCTTGCTGTCAGCTCCTCACCTGCTCCAGGAATGATGCTCCCAACTGCAGACCACCAGCGCCTGGGCAGCAGGCCCCAGGAGGAAAGCCGTGCCACAGCCTGCAATTAGTCTCCCACTTTGATTTCCCTCTCAAACGGCCTCATTTGGCTAATGAGCAGGCTGCCGGTAATTGCCTGGAAAGTTGTGCTCTTCTTCCTACCATGATATCCGCAGGCACACGGGTACAGAGGGGCTGGGGCACGGAGGATGATGTGAAGATCTTGCAGGTGAGCACAGAGGATGCAAAAAAAACGATTAGCATCACCATGAATCCAGCCCCAGAGCCAGATGCCAGGCAGGCAGGAGGAAACCAAGCTACATCATGCCAGCGCTTGCTCCAAGATCTGCACCCACATAGGCAGCGGACCAGGCTTGGCCCAATGCCTCACCAAGACCGGTTATAGAGGGTCTATGTCATCTGCTGGGGCAGCACGGCCATCACCCCTCTGCCACGTAGCTACTGGGCGCTTACCCAAGCAGGTCACGGTCTTGACTGTCCCATTGCTCTCCCAGCCACCAACCAAGCACAGAAGACCACACTTGGGTCCCACATGCCTCAATGGAGGGTCCCCGTGTGCCCCCTCTAGCTGATGAGCTAGAGGCAGGCGTTAGGGAAACTATGGCCCAGCAAGCCTGATGGAAAAAAAAAGCCACTGAACCCATGGTCTGCGGACCCCATCCCTACAGCACCCATCCTGCTAAGGCGAAGGACCAGTGACCTGGAAGGGCCTGGAGACCTGGAGTAGCTGAGAGAAAGTGGTATGTTTCAGTGTGTAACCTCTGTAGGGCACAGGAGCACAGTGGGGTGATAAAACTGGTTTATCTGCTAACTAAAGGCACACTGGAGATAAAGACCCAAGTCACGCGTTCGCTCCATGACCCAGCCTTGCCATAGTGCTTCCTGGAACACTGGGACATTTGGGAGAGCTGGCCATCTCCAGCGCCTGCCACTCCTCAGTCAGGGACATGCACTTCTGGGAAAAGCATCGCACTCCATCCAAGGAGAGGCTGCGTACATGGGAGGACGTGGATGAGGAACACCTGAGTCTTGCAGCCTCAAGCTCCTGCAGCCCCAGGAACGGAGCCAGTAAAGAGCCGCTCGCTCCGACGCATCCGTTCCAGCCCCCCCCACAAACATCCCGGAGGCCATGGCCCTACAGCAGCCTGGGAGAGGGGCTGGTTCGAAGTCCCTGAGGCTGCCAGGCACAGCATTCCCAGGATGCTGAATCATCCCAGGCTTCCCTGCCTGGACCCTCGCAGGGATTCCCAGCTCTTGCCCTGCACTAGCCCTTTGGTTTTGACCCACCAGGCAATGGGCAGAAGGTGGCAGGGAAGCAGAATAAAATCATTCATTAACCGTTTCGGTCAGCGCTTGGGCACTCCAAGAGAAAAGTGGGAGCTGCTGCGACAGGACTACAGCCTCTCCAGCAGAAACTCTCTCTTCCCAGCCTGCTCTTGCAGTACCTTCCGGCCCCCTTTCCCTTTTCCCCAGGCAAGCCCAAGAGGAAAGTTTTCTGGCCGTGCTGCTCCAATCCCCGGAAAAATAATCCCTGCCATCCATTCAGCCCCATAACAATCCTCTGGCGAGCTGCCAGCAGAGCACGGAAGGGCCCACGCTTCCCGAGCCAGGGCGGCTTCAATTCACCAGCAAAAACAAAAAGGGCACTTCCTACCCAAGCAGGAGCTTGCGAGACCAGCGAACAACCGAGCAAAACACCTTCCAGGGCCCTTCCTGCCTTCATCTATTCTTCCTCGGCCGCAGGTGTGAGGTTTCTTATCCAGGCAGCATCTGGGCAACTTCCGATGGGGAAGAAAGACGCGGCTTTTCTTCCGGCACCCTTCAGCCTCGGACGATGAGGTGGAAAAAACAACACATGGTGGGGGAGGGAATGCTAAAACTCCATGGTCACCCAAGCAGCCCTGGGTTGCAACTGCACAGGCTCCCCCGTGCAAATAAACGTGGGAGGGAGCCCAGCTGAGAGCTGTCTCCAAATGGCAAAGACCAAGCAAACTCATGGCACATAACCCCAGGAAAAGGACATTGGGAGGGAAGTGCATCACGGCCTGGTAACATCCAGAGGTGGCCTCAAGGGAGAGTTAAAGCAGATGAGTGTGGTGGGATGCCCTCACCTGCACAGCTGGCCATGCATGCAGGGACCTCTCCTCCCTTCCTTGGGGGTGCGCTCAGGAGGGCTGGGGTGCTTGGGGCCTGCGCACGTCCCGAGCGCCTACAAACCTCCCCTCTCCTACCAGGCACAGGGAAGGTTTTCTTCCACCCTGCGCTTCCAGCGCTCT